TTGTTTGTCTGTCTGCAGTTTGAGAGGTTCAACAGGCCAGCTTCCCATAACATAAGTCAAACACTGTGAATAACCCTTAACGTTTAATATGTACATATGATCCGTCATTGCCGATATAAATAAATCTGTACAGTATACTTTACTTAAACATGCTGTACATAATCATCCAGTCCATCTATAACCATTCAGTATTTATTCATTTGCACCATTTCTATTTTTCACAACCTACAGAAAATTTGACTTGAATGTAGACATTTTGTTCCTCTGATTTTATTGATGTAATTGGTACTTTTTATATAGATTTAAAAATACACCTATTTTTTCACTACTTGTGAACATTACATTCCCATTTATTCTGAACTGTATCTGTTCAGGTTTGTTTTCTTTGTCCCTCGCTCTTATTTCAGTTTCTGTGCACGCATACCATACCATACCTACACCATACCATACCATACCTACACCATACCATACCATACCTACACCACACCATACTACACCATACCATACCTACACCATACACCATACCATACCATACCTACACCACACCATAACATACCTACACCATACCTACACCATACCATACCATACCTACACCATAACATACCTACACCATACCTACACCATAACATACCTACACCATACCATACTACACCATACACCATACCATACCTACACCATACCATACCTACACCATACCATACCTACACCATAACATACCTACACCATACCATACCTACACCATACCATACCTACACCATACCATACCTACACCATACCTACACCCAACGTCGGAAATACACGAGGGCAAAGGGCAAAACTGCCCCTAAGAAATATAATTTTGCCCCCGATATCACTAGGAGAGGGGCAAAAAATGCCCCCATAATTTCCTCTGATAATAATGATAATTTAATGAACTTGTCAAAAACACCGTAGCCTATATGACCCGGTGCAGTTGCCATAGAATGGTTCTTCACGCACACGCAAAACCAAACGTTCTAAACAAATAAATAAATGGAGCGCTTCTTAATCAGACCTGTGACTGCGAGACTGCGGTCAACTCAGCAGACACTTGCACTTTAGTTCACCTATATGCTGAAATTCATGGTAAACGCATTGAAACGGCACAGATCGGGAGGGAGCGAAGGACTTTGAAAGATTAACGTGAGACAACATCCGGTTTCTTCAGACGAACATCCGGTTTTCAGAATAAGATGCCAACAAAGTATACATATTGCATAATGGAAATTAGATTAAATGAATTATATTCACGTTAAGTATAAAACATGCTAACTGCATCTCGTGAGTTAAAGGGAAAATACGCCTAAATTGTGCGTAAAGTGTCTTTATTCTTTGATTTGAGGGTTGCTGGAAATGAATAATACCTGACTGACAGTCAATTAAGATATTTTACTAAGCAACAACTCTGAACTGAATTTGTACCTTCAAATGGCACTTTTTTTGAATTTTTAAGGTGCTATAAAAATGTTTTCCTCAAAAATTCCACACAATGACTGATGCATATGTTCAGGACAAAAATGGGTAATATCACAATATTTGAGGTGCTACAAAAATATTTTTCTCAATAATTCCATACAATGACTGATGTATAAGTAATCAAGGCATCGTTGACTTAATAATTGTTAATAGTTGTTTAAAAATGTAATAATAACAATAAATTAAAGCTGCGAGCAGCGATGAACGGGCCCTCGCAATCTGCAGCGCGTCGGGGGTGCCGGCGGGACTCCGGCCTGCGCGTCCGAGAACGTCCGCGACCGTCGGACGGTGTGTCCACGAGCGAGACATTTTTAATCCTGCGTGGATGCTGGAAATGATGCTTTGCAAATATTCTGATGCTTCCTGTATCCGCTGCCTGGTGCTACAGAACGCGTGCAAACATGCATTATGTTGCTCTGTGTCAAGTGTAAACCACATGGTGTAAAAGTAATGTAAATTGGAGGAGTTTGTCACAAAACGCAGACCATGAGTGTTATCAAGCATGTGAAGTTTGAGACTGTTTGGAATATGTCCAGCTGAGTTACATCAGCTTTTTTCATGGGGAATCACGTAAAGTAGCCGCCCGCTACGGCTAAACGATTCCGTCAAACGTAAAGCTTTTGATAACTTTTAATCACAACGGTCTTGACATGGTACTGACAAAATTTAAAGTGGATCTGATGAAGTCCCTAGGAGGAGTTCGTTAAAGTATAGCGACTAGAAATAGGCCAAAATCTATTGAAAAATGACACATAAATGAAACTGGACGACTTCCGGTAGGGTTTAGAGCATGGTCCCAAGAGACTTATATTTAAGTCTCCATAGGATACATGTGCTTACTAAGTTTCATACATGTAGCTCAAACGTAGCGCTGGGGCTGCTGTTTTGAAATATTGTAGGGGGCGCTATAGAGGCAATTTAAAACGGACGATTAAAAAAATCATATAGAATATTTCTTCCAATGACCTATAACACATGTACAAAGTTCCATGAGTTTTTGAGCATGCCAAGTCACTAAACCATCAGCTTCCTTTTTCATGGCGAACGATGCGTTGCCACGGCAACAGCGTTAATCCAAAATGCACAATATTAATGATAATGCATCATCAATGTCTTAAGGCTATCCGTACCAAATTTGAGACTCATCAGGTCACCTGGCTAGGAGGAATAAAGAAAAGTATAAAATATGACATTTCCTCTCGCCAGTAGGCGGCGCTATGAGTTATTGAAATTTTTTCAATTGAAATATGTTCAAGCTTGAAGTAGCATCATGCATAAGAAGTTTTGTGCGGATTGGATAATGTACCTTGGAGTTATAACAACTTATAAGAACTTATTTTTTCAAAAACAATGAGGCAAAATGGCCGCCACGCCACATCACGGTTCTTCGATGAAAACTCTAGATTTTGATAACTTTTAATCACAAAGGTCTTAAGAGCATCCTGACCAAAGGAGAAGTTCATTGCTTAAAATCTCTAGGAGGAGTTCGTCAAAGTGCGAAGGCTGAAATCTGCAAAAAGTGACAAAAAGCACAACTTCGCGGGTTTACTGTAGTGCCCCCTAGTGGTTGAGTGCAAAACAAATCTCAGGGGATGTTACAGCATGCGATGTGCACATATGCTGCAAATTTTGTAATTTTAGGACAAACGGTTGAGAAGTTATGTGTATTGATATTAAGCCACGCACCTAAGAAGTTTATTGGTCCATATCTTCTAAACGCTAAGAGATATCAAAACGCTTTTGATAATTCTTGATGATCGAGATCGAATAATTATCCACAGCTGAATAATTATCCACAATTGCTCATATACTGTAAGCCTAAATAAGTATATTTATTATTTTGAACAAAGGTTAAATGTTATTTCACAAGTTTCAAAAAGTGCCCCCAATTCTTTTTAAATGCCCCTAGATTTCAGTGAGTGGGGGCAAAAATTGCCCCCTAAAAAATATGTAAATTTCCTACCCTGCCTACACCATACCATACCTACACCATACCTACACCATACCATACCATCACCATACCAATACCATGCCAAGTTTGTTAAACCAACTAAATTAACTTGCACCTTGCAAATTAGTCATTGCTTATTTGTTGCACCATTTGTTTCAATACTATGCCTAATACTTGACCATCCAAATTACATCTAATTTACATTCGAGCGTTCTTGTACTGGACCTTCTGTTTACTGAAGAACATCCTTCTTCAAGCAGCCAGCAATATACAGCAGTCAATTTTATTCTGTTAAATGTCATTTAAGCAACAGCTCTTGAAACAACAAACCTCGTGTGGCAATAGGTACAATGGAGTAGATATATATTTATTGAATGAACGCAAGTATTCTATCTGTATCCGACTGTGTCACCTTGTGTTCCTGTCTTGGTCTCGGATCTTCTTCTCCATTTCGGCATCTGTGAGGGTCTCCAACAGGGGGCACCACTGGTCTGCATCACCTGTGTTGCGGATGGCGATCTCTACTGTCGGGAGTGGGTTCTCACTGTAAGCACATTACAAGCATGGCAGTACTGAATCAGTCCAACATAATACACCAAAGTACATCAGCTCGTAATGGGTATAGAAAATAAGGAATAAGACTATATGTCCTCCAACGTCAATGAAAGTTTGTCGTATTAATTTGAAGTCAAACCTCTTCAATACATTCTATGTCTACCTTAATCATAGTGTGTTCAGACCACTGCCCCCATTGATTCTACCGACTCCGTTGACGTGAGTGGCTGAGTTACCTGAAGGCATAGGTCCTCTGGTGCCAGCTGAGCTGACCGCGAATGCTGTAGGCGATAGTGGTGACAAACTCTCCGCCCAGACCGAGCTCAGAGCACAGCTTCAGTGCAAATGACTCCGGCGAGTTCTCTCTCTCTGACATGTCCCACTCAAACTGGTCCACCAGAGAAATGTTCCCCACGTGGATGTTCAGCTGAGGAATGGAGAAAAACAAATACTACATGTTTTTTACCAACTTAATCGGCTGTTAGCAATATGTCTTTAAAATTACAGTGGATTCAAATCTGCCTGAACCCAGACGATCTTCCATTCTCTGGATCATCATCACCATCATCATCCTCTGTCTCTGCATCTCTTCTCCCTTCTCTCAGTTCAATCGGACTCTCTGACGTTAAAAGTCTTTGGGCAGAGTGGGTGATTTTTATTTGGCTAATTCAATAAATCAAATACTAGCTAAATACGTATATCACAGTAAATTAGATTTATGTTAAATTGGATTAAAAATGTTGAACCTACTTCAATAATAATTTCACTTATTAAAACAATATAAGTAGGAGGGTGGCAGTAATATTTGATTATTTGGGGTTCACAGTGAAATTGAAGTCTATGGTCTATGATTTTGCGTCGGAGTGACTGACTGAGAAGAGACAGGGATAACCTGGTTTTACATCTGCAATGGTGTAAAACAAGAGGAAAAAAACAAAAAGAACTACATGTTGCATCAATCAATTAAAAAAACAAAAACAGTCTAATCTTTGGAAAATATTCAAAACTGTGGCATTGACAGGAGGCTTAGTTAGCAGACACAGGTGTGCTGGTTGCTATGAAAACTAAGTGGTTATTGACTCACTTCATACCTGCCCCTGCCTTCAGCTAATCTACATTAAACATTTTCAGAATGACTTTAGTGGAGCTCTACATAGATTTTCACAATTTTAGCAGAGAGCTTGATTCGCTCACTTTTATTGACCTTTTCCATCACAGTTGTCCCAAGATACAGTATGACATACAGGTGCAATTAAAATGTAAACTGGTAAATGGACTGTACTTCTCTTTTCTAGTCTTCCGACCACTCAAAGATCTTTAACACTGCATGTCATCATTCACCCATTCATACACTGATGGGGGGGCTACCATGCAGGCTGCCCATCAGAGCCATCTGATCGTAGGCACAGCCTGCAGGAGCAATTTTGGGGTTCAGTGTCGTGCCCAAGGACACATCAACATGGAGTAGCGGAGCAGGGGATCGAACCTGATCCTCTGATTGAAGAACGATCCGCTCTACTGCTGAGCCTCGCATAGAATCAACTAAGATGAATAGAATAAATAAACGAGAATGGGACAAATTGATATTGAGATACAAACGGGTTGGGAAGAAAGCTAGCGAAAGGTACAAAACTCTACAGCTACCAGAGAATAAAGTGGGTTTCCAGTTCTGAAAAACTGTCATAGATTTGTTGAACTAACTTTAATATGTTGGTGTACAACCAACTCCGACGCTAGATGGAAAGAAATTGAGCAAGCGATGGGAAAAGGAATACCAGAAAAAAAGGTTATTGATCGTAATATATCGCAATGTTTGTTATTGCAAAATGTATAAAATCACATCATCAATCATGGTGATAGTCCCTTCTGGGCGTGTCTTAGTCCCGTCTGGGCTATCACCTCAATTTGAAATTTGAAAATGGTTTGCATATGACCCAAACTTTACACCTTGTAAGCCTGAAAAAAGATTCAAAGATTGAAGAAGAAAGCTAAAAAGTATTGTTGAAAAAAATTAAAAAAAGGACAAATGCAAGAACATTTTCCATACTAACAAAATGTGTAGCAGAATAGTATAGTAGGATGGACCTTATAAAAAGGTAATTATAAATAAATAATTTCTAAACCAGAGTTTCTCAACCCGTAAATTAAAGGGGCAAGACACAAGATTGGGAGCATTTTGATTGCCTCTCAACGGCTCTCAACATGGTGAAGGCGAGCCGCCGGCTCACAGTCAACGGTGTTAACCCGGAATCAGAATCAGAATCAGAACCATTTATTGCCAAGGAAGTTTGCACCTACAAGGAATTTATCGTGGCGGTTGGTGCGTAATATTTAACAAACAATAACATTAAACTGTCAGCAATCAACACATTGCGAGAAATAGAAACATTAAATTTACAATAAACTATAAAATATAAAATATAGTGCACAACAAAACAGATAACAGGACTGTAAAACAAGTGAAGTGTAAGTGAAATGTTAAAAGTGACGAGAGTGTTTAAATAAAGAAACAGGGATGTGCAGGGGAGATCCCAGAAGGAAATGTCCTGGGGATGACAGTCAGTGGGGGACCCAGGCTCTGTTAATGAGCCCGACTGCGGACGGGAAGAAACTATTTGTGTGGCGTGAGGTCTTGGTTCTGATGGACCGCAGCCTCCTGCCAGATGGAAGGGGCACAAACAGATCATGTCCAGGGTGAGAGGGGTCGGCTACAATCTTTCGTGCTCGCTTCAGGGTCCTTGAAGCGAACAGGTCCTGGAGGGACGGCAGATTGCAGCCAATCACCCCCTCAGCAGAGCGAATGATGCGCTGCAGTCTGCCCTTGTCCTTGGCAGTGGCTGCAGCGTAACAGACCGTGATGGAGGAGCAGAGGATGGACTCAATGATGGCTGTGTAGAAATGCACCATCATTGACTTTGGCAGGATGAATTTCTTCAGCTGCCTCAGGAAGTACATCCTCTGCTGAGCCTTCTTGGTGATGGAGCTGATGTTCAGCTCCCACTTGAGGTCCTGGGATATGATGGAGCCCAGGAAGCGGAAGGACTTAACCGCATCGACGGGCGAGTAACACACAGTGATAGGGGCTGGTGGGGCTGCGTTCTTCCTGAAATCCACAACCATCTCCACTGTCTTTAGAACGTTAAGCTCCAAGTTGTTCAGACCGCACCAGGTCACCAGGTGGTCAGTCTCCCACCTGTAAGCGGACTCATCCCCACCAGAGATGAGTCCAATGAGGGTGGTGTCATCCGCGAACTTCAGGAGCTTGACGGACTGGTGAGTGGAGGTGCAGCTGTTGGTGTACAGGGAGAAGAGCAGAGGGGAAAGAACGCAGCCTTGGGGGGAACTGGTGCTGATGGTCCTGGAGGCTGAGACGTGCTTTCCCAGCTTCACGTGCTGCTTCCTGTCAGACAGGAAGTCTGTGATCCACTTGCAGGTGGAGTCGGGCACCTGCAGCCGAGAGAGCTTGCTATGCAGCAGAGACGGGATGATGGTGTTGAAAGCAGAGCTGAAGTCCACAAACAGGATCCTGGCGTAGGTTCCTGGGGAGTCCAGATGCTGGAGGATGAAGTGAAGGGCCATGTTGACTGCGTCATCTACAGATCTGTTGGCTCTGTAGGCGAAATGCAGGGGGTCCAGGAGTGGGTCGGTGAGGGTTTTTAGGTGAGACAGGACAAGGCACTCAAAAGACTTCATGACCACAGAGGTCAGGGCGACGGGCCTGTAGTCATCGAGTCCTGTGATCCTTGGTTTTTTTAGGGACAGGGATGATGGTGGAGGCCTTGAAGCAGGCTGGTACGTGGCATGTCTCCAGGGAGGTGTTAAAGATGTCTGTGAACACCGGAGACAGCTGATCAGCACAATGCTTCAGGGTGGATTGGGAGACCAAGTCTGGGCCGGCTGCTTTGCGGGGGTTCTGTTTTTAAAAAGCCTGTTGACGTCACTCTCCAGAATAGAGAGAGTCGTCACTGGGGAGGGGGGTGGGGGGGCGCTGGGATGGGTGATACAGAGGCATGGGCCCCTGCTGAGCTGGGGGAGGGGGGCTGGTGGTCTGGGGCTGGTTGATGGGGCTGTGGGGGATGGAGTCAGGACTGTCCCATTGTCTTTCGAATCTGCAGTAGAACTCATTCAGCTCGTCTGCCAGGCGGAGGTCGTTCATGGAGTGGGGGGTTTTTGGCTTGTAGTTGGTAATCTGTCTGAGACCTCTCCAGACAGAAGCAGAGTCATTGACTGAGAGCTGATGTTGCAGTTTCTCAGAGTACAGTCGTTTAGCATTTCTCACCGCCTTGCTAAACCTGTACTTTGACTCTTTGTACAACCTTGCAAACAACGGCGATAGTGCTGACAGAGCTAACAGTGTTTACCTGAGAGAGCACTGGAGGGTGGGTGCTACGTTTCCGCAGTATAAATATTCTTCTTACCATCTTCTTGCCATTATGAATCCAAATTGAATGTATTCAGGGTCACATTTCCTCACCACACGCTTTGGAGCATTTAAAAGGTGTAGGGTTGTCTCCCACATCACTTTTTGCTTTAAACTATCCATTTTGTGTCACTGCATCCGAGGGAACTTTAGCAAGCCAACAGCAAAGTACGTTTGTCTCTGATGGTGTGTTGCAATGTTCTAAACTAAACTGGACATTCTTTTCATTGACTTTAGTCAATGAAAAGAAAATGACCTAACAAACCCTGGTCTAGTATGTTCCTGCTAAGCCACCTGCTATTCCCTGAGGAATTGTTCCTTTGGTTCAGCACGCACCTTGATGATAACTCTCTGGTCTGCCTGCTCTTCCAGTATGCTGTCAGTGGGGTAGGACTCAATCTGCTGACGAATGGCTGAGGCAATGGCGGGGACGAAGGCCAGAGGATTTAGGTCCAGGTCATCACATAAAATCTCTGCAAACATCTCTGGGGTCATCAGTTTCTCTGAAGAGGGACGGATTGGGAGGGTTAGAGAAAGTTCTAAAATTGAATAACTTTACATATCAGAAAAATTAAACGGTAGACAATACTGTATGCTTTGGATGTTGGTAAGCTAGTTGACGTATGTATTAACCATTCATGTTCCACGTGAAGGCATCTCGCAGTTTCTGTCCGTCAATCTCCATGTCTAGACGAATGGGAACCAGCGCCTCTACCTGGGCTGCGTTCTCATGGATCACTGCAGGGTCGTGGTCATCAAAGCTGAGCAAGACACAGAAAACCTCAATGTTGCATTATTATTGTGTATCCGAGGAATTATAAATTGTCTTCAAAAAAATATGCAATGTGTAAGATCTGGCCAGAATTTTGGTTTAAACATTTATTTTTTAATTAACCAACATCATCAACGGAATGTGAAGATATTACAGTGAACATGAAGTCAAGGATGGCTATGTATTGTGAGATATCTACTGAAATGAGCATGCTAACCAGCTAGCCCTGGCCCATCCTGTCTTTTCATACCACTTGTACCTCAAGAGGCGATAGTGAGTCACTGTGGCGTTCAGTCTGTCCTCAGTCCAACGTGAGAGGACGAAGACGTAGTCAGGGTTCCCACTCTTTTCTAGAGATCATTTTCAGGGATCTAGCTGGTATGATATATACACTAAATCCTCTTTCTTATAAATTAAACTAACCATTGCTGCCTGAATTTTACCATAACAATGCAGCATTGCTTTAAAAGGACAATGCTAGCACAGAAAAAAGTAGTTAGCCAGTATTTAGGGCTACTATTCATCGCGTTGACTGACTTCCCATTCATTATCCATCTACTATCAAACTCTCTCAACCATGCCCAACACACATTTCAAACCACTGCCCTTTGCCAAATTTGAATCACAAATGTTTAACCTTGCAGCTGAAACAAGCTAGCAAGCACGTCAATTTTAGCAACAGAACCTAACATTCTAACCAATTTAACATTATTCAACCATTAAAAAACCAGTTGGGAAGAAAGCAAAGATATGTATTGTCATCAAACCTGCATGTGCTACCATGTGACGTGACATCGGGGTGTGTCCACAGCGTTTCCACAGCATAACCAAAATAGTCTCTTGAACACATCATTATGAAGCTCAAAACAACCTGAAATAACATTAGCTTTGCAGGGCTGTGCTGCCCACCGGCTGCTAACAGCTAACGTTAACAAGCTTCCTCCCGCATCGAAGATGCGTGTGTTTGGGAGGTAATGATGCTACGCAGGATAAATTAGACGTGGATTATACTGCAAGAGTTGTGTGAGAGATATTTTGATATAATATTGCTGCCCACATTTACCTCAATTCATCAAGATTTTGTCTTTTTTGTTAACTGTGGAGGCATGCAAAAAAAAAAAGTTCTCTTCAAGAATTCAAGCTAACACGGGGTGAGTGTAATTGTTATACAAATGTTCATTATGTGGGTGAATTATTCCTTTAATATCACTTTCAAATGCCCATATGTGCATTGAAAGACCTATTTATCTGGCCACAAACGCAAGTGGAATCCTTTTAGAAAGAGATCTCTTTCAATATCTCTCGGAGTTTCTCCTGACTTGACCAGTTAGGAGCTACCTTTAGCCTGAGGATATATTGCTTCACAACATAACAGAGATGCAGAGCTTGTGCCACACAGTTCCACTTTTTGTTTTAAAGCTTTCTTACCACAGAGGGAAGGTCCTTTTCTTGTCACGGCCCATTCGGTTGCGGTTGATGGTGGTGGAGCAAGGCACAGCATCGAGATGGTGAGAGCTGTTGGGCAGTGTGGGAACCCACTGACTGCTCCTCTTTGCTTTCTGCTCCCTTATATAAAGGGGAAAAAAAACAAGGTTGACACGGGTTGACAAGAAATGAAGTATTGTAATTCCATTCAATTGAGGGACTCACAAGAAACAGATTAAGATATCCTGACTTTTCTGACTGGCTCAGGCTTTCTGTTATCAATTTGTAGTTTCCAAGCCCACGCTGAGATAACCCTTATGAAGACATCACCATGAATTCATCAGGATAGATTTTTTAATACTCCGTTTGTAAAATTGGTGAACTGTTATCTAACTATGGTACAACTAATTTCAGTGCTGTGAAAAGTATTTGGGGCCCACATCTGCTCCTTCGTGTTCTGAGACCAAGGTGCATCTTGAATCACATTCTTTTTGGGACAATGGAAACAAAATGAAAATGTAACAACAACAACAACAAGAACACAACAAATGCTAAATGAGCCATCGTCTCATTGAAGTTACCTGAGGTAAGCCGGGGGCTCTGTGCTGATGGACACTGCCTTGTATTTCTCATCATTACCCTCGAAGATCTCTTCACATTCTGATGCCTTCAGCAGAGTAACACTAGTGGCTACAGATGGACAATGGCCAAGACAGAAACACAGATGCATGTCAACTTTTACTCACATCTTAACTGCTGAATCTCACATGCATTGTGGCTATAATTGCGAAGGATTCTAACTGATGCAGTTGCTATCATTGTCATAATGTTTTGGGATTTTTTTTGTTGGGGGTTAAACATGGTAGGTGTTGTAAATTCTTCACAGACAAAGACGATAAAGTTACGGAGCTTTTATTTTGAAATTGTATTGGACGTTGCGGACTGTTTCCGCTTCCGGTTGCGCTAACGGTAGATCTTACGTAGGACCAACGGTCGAATCAGATCGAGTCATTGACGATGTAAGTGATAGAAGTGTAAATCTGAATCTATGTGGCGTAACTGTTCCGTTTGTTGTTGTACTTAATGTTTTTAAGTGCATTTACTGTGAGTGTCAAAGTTGAGCTAAGTGGCTAACCTGGCTAGCAAGCCTGTATTCTTTGAATGTATGTGTGTTTGCTTTAAGAGTTTACTATTGCTAGTATTTCAGTTCTATAATTCGTTTTCTGTGTTTATTTCAGAAACTCGGTCATCTATTATTCAAACTCATTCATCATCTGTAAATCTGTCAAACTATAAGACTGAATTCAGAAACGTATGGCTCAAACAGATGTCTACGTGTTCTCTGACCGGAACCCTGTAGTGGTCAATAATCATCTTTAAATCAGCAACTCAGGGGTTGAATCCCCAACAAATGGTCCTTCGAGCCGGATTAATTGACTACTACAGAAGATGACATCTGAAGATAGATCTACCCATCAGCCTTATTTCGAAGATCAGCAGCGTCATGTGAGACATCATCGCGTCCCCAAACATCTTGAGGACTATGTCCTTGCCTACAATCCACAGCGACCTGCCCTTTCCTCCCATTCTACAGAGGAGCAGAGAGGAGCAGCGGCCGCAGCAGAGTGTAGCCGAGCGGATACAGCCTCTTATCTGGGCAGACGCACAGCCTCACACAGCCCCAGCTCCGATGACCTGCTGAACAGCACTTCACTTAAACAACTCATCGAATCCATCTCTAGGAACGAGAAGGAAGAGGACGCTGAAGTGGTTCAACTAACACACAAACTCCAGCAGTATGAAACCAGACGTCGTCGTCAGGAGCTGTTGGAACACATCTCTTCCTTCATGATGGAAGAAGAGATAGACGAGGGTCATGACACCAGTAAGAGTGCCACACCCCCATCAATACCTTCATCTCCCGTGCCTCACCCCCAGATGTCCCTCTTCTCCCCAAGTAGCTTGCTTTCATCGACAGAGGAGCAGGCTAAGGACACGGAGCCTCAGGCTATTGGACATATAACAGGACACATGTCTGGGAGACCAGAGGTTGAGACTGAAGTTAGAGCCTACGCTCCTATAGCAGGAGACCAGAGACTAAATTCTGCATTTACCCCAGTGCTTCCAGCCTCATCAGAGCGGTTGGGCTACTTGTGTTCTGTAGTTTCATCAGGCATGATGACACCTACTCCGGTCCAGCAGTACCCTACTAAGTCAGACCCACTGCAGCCTCATACCTCAGGGCTGCCTCGCCACCGTGGTGATGAAGGACAAGCGCGTGGACAGTCGATTGCTACTTCTCCACTGCATGAGCCTATAGCAGTCTCTTACAGCTATCCAGCCACACAGCATTACCACTCACCACAAGTGATGCCTCACGGCCTTTTCAGCCATGGCCCGCCTCACTATGCTACAGTGCCTTCATCACTACCACCACTTCAGCAGACTCTCTGCGCCCAGAGGTAATTCATCTCCAGCTCATCAGATGCAGCTGCCATCAGGTCAGACTGTGACCCCATACAGCTCTGGTCTGCCACAACGCCCTGCATATGGTGTGCCAACACCCAAAATCCCCGACTTCTCCACTGACTGCGAAAGGGAGATCGCTAACCTGAAGCTGGCTGTAGACAATCTGCTCGAGCCTTATACAGAACTGTCCGAGAAGTATAAATATCACGTGCTACTCGAACATCTTAAGCTGCCCGAGGCGCAGATGATTGGTCAGTCTTGCCGCCACCATCCAAACCCATACTCAGCAACTATGCAAGCCTTGCAGTTACAGTATGGCCAGCCACACCAGCTGGCACAAAGTGAGATAGCAGCCATTCTGACCACCCCAGATGTGAAGCCTAGTGATGCCCACATCTTCCAGAGTTTCGCCCTACAAGTCCACCTCCTAGTGACTATGCTGCTCTCCTTAGAGGGACCCAAGAGTATGGAGCTAAACTGTTGCTCTCATGTCGACCGCTTACTTAGTAAGCTACCAAAGTACCATAGAGATGGGTTTATTGAGTATTTACAAGTTCAGGGAAAGCTGAATAGCACAAGTCTCAACCCCTACAACCTACAAGATCTCAATGTATGGCTTCAAGGTAAAGCTCAACAGCAGCGCCTGTCCAGCAGATTGGTGCAGCGCTACCAAACAGGACAACCCCCAAGTAAATGGAAGGGAGAAGATCACGTCAAAAGGCAAAGTTCAAGGTGTCTCTGTATATCACAGTACAGGGCCCCAGAGTCCCTCCAGTAACCACACACAATCCAAGAAACCATTCAAAATACAATGTCTCTTCTGTGACAGCAAAGAACATTATATCAGTCGCTGTCGCAGTATCACAGAGCAGTCAGCAGTTGATCTGGATAAGTGGATAACGGAGGGAAGGCGCTGCTGGAAATGTGCACGTACTCATGCACCTGAGTCGTGCAACCTCAAGAAACCCTGTAGTGACTGCAATGGTATTCACCTCCAAGTCCTCCACGGTGTAGCACAGCGTCGAACCATCAACTCACAGTCAGGGGCCACAGAAAGCAGAGTCTACCTGACACCCAGCATTACATCAAGCAAAGTACTGCTGAAAGTAGTCCCCATCCTGCTGCACAACAAGTCCAGGTCTATGGAGACATTTGCTATCCTGGATGATGGCGCACAGAGGACTATCATCCTGCCACAGGCTGTCCAACAGCTCCAGTTGACCGGTGAGTCTGAGACTATTTCCCTACGCACAGTGCGGACAGACCTAACGTAGCTACAAGGGTCAAAGGTCAACTTTGAAATCTCCCCCAGATATAACCCACAGAAGCACTACAAAGTGCAGGGAGCATTCACAGCTGAAGGCCTAGACCTAGTAGAGCAAACCTACCCAGTGCAAACACTCCAAAGACGACACACTCACCTGCGCGGGATCCCATTGAAGTCTTTCTTTAACGCCCGTCCAATGGTGTTGCTTGGATCAGATCACGTACATCTGATTACTGCCACTAAGCCGGTACGTAGAGGAGCTAACAGTGGACTTGTTGCCATCCACACTGCCCTCGGATGGGCTTTGCAAGGTGCTGAAAGGTGTGGATCCCAGCCAACTGCAGTGCAGCAATGTCTTTTCACCACAGTCGTTCCTCCGAATGACCTCTTGTGCCGAAACGTGGAAAAGTCGTGGCAACTTAACGTTCTGCCTTTTTGGAACGAGAAATTGGTAGTTCGTTCCCGTGAGGACCAAGAAGCCATGAACCTCTTAGACACAAAGACGCAGAGGGTCAACTCTGAAGGTGTTCAACGCTATGCAACCCCTCTCCTGAGGAGAGGAGCCCCTCAACTGAACAGTTCGACTCATTCAGTCATAACACATCTGCGAGCCACAGAGAAACGGCTCAAGAAGGATCCGGAGAAGGCAGCTATCTATTCAGAGGAGCTGGCAGAGCCCGGTCGTTGGAGTCAAGGGCCTCCATTCTTAAACCAGAGTGCTGAGCATTGGCCAAGGAAGCCTAAGCATGCTACAGCAGTGAGTTCAGCTGATCACATTCTGAGGCCTCACAACAGTGGAACCTAAGGACAATCTCCCTGATGCTTCTCAGTTCAGTACATGGAAGGAGTTGGTAGAGGCCACTCGTCAAGCAAGCCAGGGTGCTCAAGGGGTGGCCGAGGGTCAGAAATACCATCAAACTACTAACCCCCAGGATGCGGAGATTCTCCTGCTGAGGAAGTGTCAAGCCCATAGCTTCCCAAAAGAGGTCACCGCTCTCGAAGCACAGAAACCGGTGCAAAACCACAGCCGCTTGGTCCGAGTAGGAGGGTGGCTGCGAAGGCTGCAGAACACAGACCTAGGAGAGATCCATCCGATTGTGCTCGATCCAAAGCACCCAGCAACAAAGCTCCTCATCAAACACATGGACGAACGTCTGCTTCATCCAGGTACGGAGCGGGTGTATGCAGAACTGTGAAGGCAGTATTGGATCTTGCGAGGACGACAAGCTGTCAGACACCACCAGCTCAAGTGTCCATCCTGCCAACGCTGGCGAGCTCAGCCCAAGGTCCCACAGATGGCGGACTTGCCACCACAGCGCCTCAGGCTTCTCTGTCCACCTTTCTTATGGGAGAGAGGTTCGTTCCATAAAGGCCGGCCTTCAAGTCGCAGTTGGGAGCCAATCAGTCTCTGAAGACGTCCTCTACACAACTTTAGTGGAGGTCGAAGGCATCCTAAACTCAAAACCACTAGGGTATGTGTCAGCTGATGTCGCTGACCCTGACCCCATCACTCCTAACATCCTCCTCATGGGGCGGCGGGATGCATCGTTGCCTCAAGTTGTCTATGCCCCCGCAGGCATGGGAAGGCGGAGATGGCGCCACTGTCAGACGCTTGTGGACCAGTTTTGGATTCAGTTCACCCGGAACTATTTGCCCACTCTTCAGACAAGGCAGAAGTGGCAGAAGGCCGCTGATAACATTGCTGTGGACTCAGTCGTTCTGATCGTTGATCCATCGCTTCCCAGGGCTCAGTGGCCCATTGGGAAAGTATGTAAGACAGTCCCTAGTCAAGACGGATGTATCAGGACCGCAGAGGTCCTGGTGAATGGTAAAGTCTACACAAGACCTGTTGCTCGTCTGATCCAGCTCCCTGAGCTCAGGGATGATGCTAATGATGCATGAAGAATTCCTGTTATTACACATTTGCTGCTCAAATGTGGGGGCGGCTGTTGTGAATTCTTCACAGACAAAGACGATAAAGTTACGGAGCTTTTATTCTGAAATTGTATTGGACGTTGCGGACTGTTTCCGCTTCCGCTAACGGTAGATCTTACGTAGGACCAACGGTCGAATTAGATCCGAGTCATTGACGATGTAAGTGATAGAAGTGTAAATCTGAAGCTATGTGGCGTAACTGTTCCGTTTGTTGTTGTACTTAATGTTTTTAAGTGCATTTACTGTCAGTGTTTATCATGTAATTAGCCATCGAAATAATAGCCCAAAGTTGAGCTAAGTGGCTAACCTGGCTAGCAAGCCTGTATTCTTTGAATGTATGTGTGTTTGCTTTAAGAGTTTACTATTGCTAGTATTTCAGTTCTATAATTCGTTTTCTGTGTTTATTTCAGAAACTCGGTCATTCATCGGTCATCTATTGTTCAAACTCATTCATCATCTGTAAATCTGTCAACAAACTATAAGACTGAATACAGAAACGTATGGATCAAACAGATGTCTGCGTGTTCTCTGACCGGAACCCTGTAGTGGTCAATAATCATCTTTAAATCAGCAACTCAGGGGTCGAATCCCCAACAGTAGGTATCCTGTATGCTGGACAGTTTTCCCTGTGTGATGTTTTATCAAACACCAGTATATGGAGCCAGAGCAGATGTCATAACAAACAGTGCCTCCCTCGCCACACTGTTTGTATATTAACCAAACTTAAATCACTGACACTACGAGTAAAACACCTGCATTCAGAAACTCAGTCAAGTATGATATTATCGGCAAAATATTACTTTAAGTACTGACATTAAAAGTACCCGTGCAGTAAAATGTTCCATGTCAGTGTTACTATTATATCTGATGTTTTAGGTTATACAGTATATTATTGCTGCATTAACGTGTATGCTGCATGTTTTTAACTAATTTATATACTGTTGGTTAGTTTAATCTACAGCAATGCATCGTATTCTACAAGATCATCAAATGTTTGCAGCGCCAGTACAGCAAAGTACATTATGTACCTCCGAGATGTAGTGGAGTAAAAAGTACAATATGTACCTCCGAGATGTAGTGGAGTAAAAAGTACAATATGTACCTCCGAGATGTAGTGGAGTAAAAAGTACAATATGTACCTCTGAGATGTAGTGGAGTAAAAAGTACAACATGTACCTCTGAGGTGTAATGGAGTAAAAAGTACAATATGTACCTCTGAGATGTAGTGGAGTAAAAAGTACAATATGTACCTCTGAGATGTAGTGGAGTAAAAAGTACAACATGTACCTCTGAGGTGTAATGGAGTAAAAAGTACAATATGTACCTCTGAGATGTAGAGGAGTAGTGTTTAATGGCGGATTGAAAACCACCTGTATAGCGCCACCTAGCATCTGTGTCTGGAGTGATATTCGGCCAATCCAACGATGAGGATTGTAACCAATTCAATTTGGTGATACAATGGCGACTGGGTCTGCCCACTTAGTGTCAAAAAGAAAACCGCGAGCGAGCGATAGAGCAGTGATAGAAGTGGTGCACCAGGAGGCACTCCTTGCTCTAAGCATGGTTTTGTCCTTGCAGGCTTTAAGTTAGCTCGCGCTTGCAAAAGTAATTTGCGTGAGCTGCTGTTTGAGTTGCACGAACCTCTACACAGACGCTCGCAGATCTCCTTCATGCTCACGGATTTTGACATTGATTTGCCTTCATACTGCTGCAGTCTCCAAATGTTCTCCAGCCTACAAACTAGTTTTACTTGTTCAAGGTGAGCAGGAGGATTTTCCAGTTCTGTTGTTTCCCCATCATCACCGAATTTGACAGTCGACATCCCCTGTCGTTTTCTTTATTCAAAAGCTTTTGTTTTCATGAGCAGTAACTTAACAGGACTCAGACAGCAGTGGTCAGCCAGGTGTTCCTCTCTTCCCTTTGCTCTCCTCGGGAGAGGAACTGTGTGGGGGAGATGATGGAGACTTTTGATAAGTTGTCCAGACTGTGTCCACACGCTGTCCATACATCACTGAGATCTGAACTCAGTGTGAGCCTGGCAACCTCAGCATGTGACCCAGCAGATCAGATCTCAGTGAGCCAAGATGAGATGTGGGAGCGTGCAGCGTGGTCAGATGACAGAAGTCCTATTGGAAAGAAAAGTGTAACCACGACCTACATACGACAATAGGGGTGGGGGAAAAAATCGATATAGTATCGCGATATTTTGCGTGGTGATATTGTATCGATACACGGACGCCAAGTATCGATCTTTTATTATAAAAACTATAAAAGAAAATTTACTAGAAAAATCAAATCAATTGCTTTTTCAGTCCACTAGATGGTGCCGAGTTGTTTTCTAGTGAGGTCAGCAGAGGTGCCGGGTCAGCGTGATTGGTAGGAAGTTGGTCAAAACAAAGATAGAGACATCGGAGAAAGAAATCAGAAATGCAGCGTCCGCGTTTAAATCAGACGTCTGGACTTATTTTGGATTTTTTTAACAAGGAAGGGAAGAAGGACATGAATATGACACATGGATATGACACCGTCGCGGCGTTTTTTCACCGACACATCCGTGCCCAAGTTCTACAGAGAAGCGAAGCTTAAAGTTGAGGAATCTTTGAGTACAGCAGAAAAAGTTGCATTAACTTGCGATGCGTGGACGTCAAGCGCAGTGGATTCCTATGTGACTATAACAGCACAATATCTCAGAGGACTGGCGACTGCTGTCTCACGTTCTCCAAACTAGAGCAGTACACGTAAGTCACAGCGGGGCAAACATTACAGACCTCCTGCTAAATGCAGCACAAGATGGGGGATTGCCGACAAAAACCTGGTGGTTGTAACAACGCTTCTAACGTGGGCGTTGCCGTTCATTTAGCGGGATTCCTGCATGTGAAGTGTTTCGCTCACCCTCTCAATCTGGCCTCACAACAGGCGTTAAATCTGCCAACAGTAGCCAGGCTCATGGGGAGAGTGCGGCGCATAACTGGCTCTCTGCCCTCGACGTCCACGCATCGCAAGTTATACTGAGTTATATAAGTCTTATAGACATGTTTGCATTTAGTTAAGTTGGACTATGTAGTAATACAAACAGTTCAGTTTGTCAGGTTCCTGCAACATTTATGACATTGTTGGTCAGTCTGTCTGCTTGACAATCCTATTTTACTGCAATAAAAATGATTGAAGTGAGATGAACAGACTGAAAACTTTATCTTGTTAGATAAAACATGTTGACACAGTTTTCCTTCATAATTTGAAGTTGAAAAAAGTAATAAATCGCAATATATGTTATCGCAATACTCAGAATATGGCAGTATCGTGATAACATCGCAGTATCGTGATAATATCGTATCGCGGGACCTCTGGTCATTCCCACCCCTAGTTGACAAGTCACTAGTCTGGCTGGTCACTCGTTCAAATTTATTTTGTTAAAATTGTTTATAGCTGCAATTATTAAATATAAACCTTATAAACTGTATGTATGTTTCCAAGACAAATTTCCTTCGGGACAATAAAGTCTATCTTATCTTAAACAACCTATGGACATTACAGACGAGTAATCCCAAATGACTTGATTTTGGTCCAGAGGTGAAAAACAAACAAAGACACACCACTCACCATGTGATGATGCTACGATCTTCTTCCTCTCCTCCACCGAGGCCAGCCTCCTCCATAAAGATGGATATCGTTTATACAGAGAGCCTCTGAACATGCGCAGGTAGTTTCCAACCTGGGGAAGAAAGGCAGATCGTTTACCTTTAGACAACCAAAATGAAATAAACTACAAAAAACATTCTGCAGATTAAATCGTTTTTAATATTTGCACACAAGGCCTCAAAATAAACTAACCATCCAGGTTTTGTGGTGCTACAAGTTTCTAAGACAAGTTGTTATTGGGGCTTTCCACCAAAAACAAAAATCACTTTCTGACCTCACCCCATTCTTTGCCTACAGGTTGACGATATGAGAGAGTGTTATAATGTGGTTTGATAAACCACAATAAGCAGGAGACAGGGGCCCTCACAGCTGGTTCATATTGGATGACCACCCTCTGTAAATACAGATATCTTCTTCAAAAATAAACATCAGTATGGTTCTCTGTTTATCGCTTATTTACAAATTCAATACTTTTGGTATTTTTTTTACTTTTAAAATATGTTATAGGGTTAGGGAAGTTATCATTAACAATTCAATTTTTTTTTAAATGTAAAAAACACTGAGCAAAACTTGGAAATGGGTTGAAAGTGATGAAGCTTCCTCGTGCCTGGTAAAGAGCTTCCCTTTAGGACAGTGATTCTCAACTGGTGGGTCGCGACCCAAAAGTGGGTCATTGCCTGAAGAAAATATTTTTAAAAAATCCTGTGCTTTTATTTTGAAGGTGATTATGCAGCGGAGTGCCGTCTATTCACACTCCTTAACAATTCCATTCCATTATCCAAACCGCTTATCCTATTCAGGGTCCCTGGATCCGATCCCAGCTGACATTGGGCGAAGGCGGGGTACACTGGACAGGGCTCCAGTTTACCGCAGGCCACATATATAGACAGACAAACATTCACACCTACGGGCAATTTTGAGTCTCCAAATAACCTAAGCTGCCTGTCTTTGAACTGTGGGAGGAAGCCGGAGAACCCGGAGGGAACCCGCGCTGCCAGTACCCGTGTCCCTCTTGCTGTGAGGTGACAGTGCTAGCCACTACACCACCGTGCAGCCACTCCTTAACAATATTTGCCGTTAATGCTAATATCTGCAGAGGATAAACTGAAAACTATACCTCTGTTAATAGGTATGATACTAAGTAGAGGAATTGAAGACATGTCGGATGACATGAAACAACAGACCACAGCTCGAATTAACTATTTTAACAGAGAAGTACAGAGGACTGACGGAGAGGTTTTGTCACCTGAAGCTCAACATCAGTAAAAGCTATGAGCTACCAGAGGAACAGGAGCACCCTGTGCTGGTCCTCATCCAGGGAGAGGAAGTGAAGTGAAAGAACTTTGGGGTACAAATCAATAAACTGGACTGGACTCACAACACTGAAGCCCTCTTCAGTGTGGGACAGAGCAGACTGTTATTTCTGCAACAAACTCCTACAGGTCTTCTAGCATGCTGCAGTAGTCAGTGTTCTGTTCTTCGTGACCAGGTGGTTGCATCAAGACCTGAAGGTCACCAGTCTCTCAATAAGCGATTAAGGAAGGCCAGCTAAGTGATCGGCAGAGTGAGGACAAGGGACAAAATAAAACCATCTTGGATAAACCTTGACCCTCTCTACAACCAGACGGGCAGACTGGCAGCTCGATGCAGAGAGAAGGATAAGGAACAAAATGGAAGCCTGGGAGCTGCTCTTCTTCAGGCTGAGGCCCCTTGAGGAAAAGCTTTTGATTTACATTAGGGATGTATAAATGAAAGTGTTGATATATAAACAAATGATTTGACTTGACTTTGCTGTTCTTGATCTGCTGTATGCCTATTGGCGTGCAAGTTAATTGAGAGAAAAAGAAAGAGAGCCCTTGTACGTGTTCACATAATTGGCCAATAAAGCCGATTCTGATAGACCACGAAGTGATAGCATGACAGTAGACGATGCTTCACATATGGATGTTGCTGCAAAGAAGCTACAATCGATAAAATGTGGACGCTTCCCACACATCTTCAACCCGGCACCACATTAGATCTGTACAATCACCAATCAAGATAAGTGTCACCAATTCAGTCTCTGTGTAAAAGTTAAATATGGCCACAATCTGAGTTATGGCGTTGAATAGTGGCCAGAAAAGTGATTTTGAAGAACATTATGTCACAATGAAGTTGATCTTTTGATTATAAAATGTCATCACTTCATAATCTTTCCTATTATGACATTTGTGTGAAATGTTTCCACAATGATTGTATTCATTTTTTAGTTATGGCCCAAACCCTGATATTGAGGTCACAGTGACTTTTGACCACCAAATTCAAATTTGTGGTAAAAAAAAAGTCCCTAATTTGCTCTCTTTTAAATTTCTTTTAAAAATTTGGACTAAAAGTATTGAAATTGTGAATCACCTTGTTTGTTATCCAATGATGAGAGAAGCATACAGTCCTGTTTATATTTGTAGAAGATATCTGTGTCTTTAGGCAGCGTGAGCCTCGACGCGGGTCCACTTTGAGGGCCCGTCTTTCTGGCTGATCAATTCCGATTGGAACATCAAATTGAAACGAGTGACACCCTCCTGTCTGTCTTACGGGACAACACAAACATGCAAAATATGATGCAAATATAATACTATATAAGTATCAACTCTCCTCTGACCCTGTCATGGTTTATATTCTATAATAAGTCTTTTTTGACACTGATCACCAGAGAAAAAAAACGATGTTATAAAAGGTTAAATAACTGATTGCAAAGTCTTTCTCTCCTTTCAAGTAAATATTGGGAAGAGGCAACTTTGGCAGCAGTTACAGCCTTGATTCTATGTGCATAGGTCTCAATCAGCTGTACACGGGTGGACCTCTTCCTCAGTTGAAGTTCTCTTACAGACTTTACTGACACAGGTATATCTCCAAGGTGTCTCTGTACGTCAAGCCTTCACGCGCCTGCTGCAGTGAGGCACCACCACGCTTCATGGTGGGGGTGCTGGGTCTCTGCCTTCTTTTGATATTGTGGATGTCAACACAAATCAAAGTGTTCGAGAAGCTCTTTGTTCCAGAGCATCTAGTTCAGTGAGACACAGTGAGCACCTCAAAGCCAAGACTAAGATCACTTACTGGGTAGACCTCCTTTAATACTCACTCATTTATGGCCCCAAGACCTGGTGTTAGGGTTCCTGCTCTCTCAAACATCCATAGTTAGTATAGCATAGTGACGTAGAGGCGTCACTACTGTAGACATATATGGTTTAGCTTTACAATTGGTATGTTCAAATATCAGACGTGGCGACAGACTGAGTTCGCACGTTACTTCATGTTGATGTAACGTTGGTGATCTAACGTTAAAACAACTAACGTTATACTAGACTGGAATTACAAGTTAACGTTACTGCAAGACAGCACAAGATATTCTGTTAACTTATTTGGTTTTGAACATATAAATGATGTTTCACCTGCCGGTTGCTGGCCTTACTTTAGCCGATAATATCCCGTTCTTCGTTTTTAGGTATTTCTTTGTTAAGAAACCATCAATGGGACTGGGTTAGCATGCTAGCATCAACTAGCCAGAAGAATAGACAACTGAGGCTAACCTTAGGGTACCAAGCTTTCAAAGTAAATGAATAGATAGTCACATACCTCTGACCCAACCATGTAAAAGTCTCCATCTTGCTCCAATTGGAATTTAACTGGTTTCTGGCCAAACGTTTTACTAAGAGCCAATTGCATCTTCACGCAGTCATTAAGCAGCTATTTTAAGCAGCCTTCTCTTCTCCAGATGCGTTTGTGACCTATGATAAAAATGGGAAATCAGGGTGTCCTTGACAATTGCGTTCACTTCAGTTTTCTGCATTTAAAAACTCCAGCAAGGACAATGTCGACCAAATAGGTGTATAGCTGCATAAGGAGAGGGCAAAACATACTAAGACTACAACTAATGCTGGACACGTCCCTCTTTAGAAAGTGTATTAATCCACATCTGTGATGTGGATTTCTAAGTCTTTGTTGAAGTTTCTTTTCGAAAATCACGAACGCTGCATTGGTCTTACTCTTCGTTTCAATGTAGAGGAACAATTTCCAAAGACCACTACCGCCCCCTATCGATCTAAAGTGAGACTAGATTTAACCCACGTTTATCCGCAAAGACAATATTAAAATGGCATTTCCATTTCATTGGGGATTAGTCAAATTTTAAATCCCATTTGCTATATTACAATAAGTACTTAATATTTAGTGAGATCAAAATAAAACACATGTAGGAATTAGATGTATGAATGTAAACGTTACACTGAAATACAGTGCATTATGTTGGTTATAACTTGGCTTTTTAAGTCTGACAGTAAAATCCAACTCCATTTGTACAGCAGTTTTCTTAAGATTATTGAGAAGTGCAAAATACAACAGAATAACCAGTTGTAATACATAAAAAACTATGACTTCACTACAGTCCATTACTCATCTCAACCCACTATACAGTAGTACAGATGATTAGAAACTCAAATTAGGCCCATATACTGTATATATTTTTTGTTCCAGGGCAAGCATAATTCAACAAAGCTTTTCAATCCTCCCAATGTGACATATGCATTTCACACTTCATCTCATTAGCTTCTTTTATCCCTTCTCTAGAACAACAAACAGGTCAAATATTATCTACCAGGATTCATAATCCATTTCCCACAAACCAGATAACATGGCAACATTTAAAAAATAGAAACAACAGAATTCAAAATGTGTGGAAAATCCATAAAAAAAAAAACCAGAGGAGATGTCACAAACAATAACATTGGCAAGACTCACCCCTTTGTATATGACATAACTACACATATCTGATTTAAGGCTGTTTGTATCAAATACAACACAAAAGGAGTACAGCTGTGAAAACTTAACCTGATAGGAGGAAAAGATGGAGTTGAGAAAATAGTACAAATCTTGATATTTATATCACAATGAGCTGCTGTGAGAACAGAGAATGCAGTTACAAGAGCTGTTCTACAGACAACAATGCTATTTGTACGTATCAATTAGTCGGAGATGTTTTTGGTTTCAAGCAATACTTCTACAGATCAAAGAGATCAAACCAAAGCATCATTTGCCACACACATTTATTTCTTTAAAAAGTGAAATGAGAAAAAGAATGCACTGGCCATCTGAATAAATTCATTTAGATATTTTACTGCTCTCATTGTTTTCTCTTTAATATGAGAGTTGTTTTGTATCCTTTTTTATTTTTTATTTTTTTAGATTGAAAAAAAAACATCACCGGAGGCCAAAGGCTCACAATCCAGAGTTCCTTCAGGAGCTTGTGTTCTCTCAAAGAGTCTTAGAGCAAGGCTCTCGCATCAAGAAGAGTTTCTGGGGATGATATAAGCCCATATACAGAGACAACAGACGTTATCTCTATATCTGGCAATCTTCATCCAGAACTAAACAAACAAGTCAAAAACAAAGACCGTGTTCATCCACTTCATCTCTCTGAGGGACTGTCCTTGAAAGTGACCTGACAATCAGACACCACCTGTGGCCATATTTAACCTCCAAGGCGCTGTCCCTCTCCCCAGGCAAACCCTCCCGGGCGCTCCTCGGGCAAAGGGTTGTAGTTGGCATCTTCCTCTGGTGTGTCAAACAGCATCTTTCTGTGGGAGACACGCAAAGGAGGATGATGAGGGATTTTCTAAAGATTTCTGATTGAACACCCATGATCTAGTGCCGCCATCAAGCCAAAGTATACACTGTGCACAAAATCTCATTGCAGATGGCCATGAAACTCCCTAAGCAGGTTCAGGCTCCCCAGAGGACAGACCCTTTTCATTGTGGATACTCTGCAAGCTTTCCTCTAGCCACCATAAGGACAAAATACATACAGGTCAATTCATTCATTCATCCACTTTCAAACTGTAGGGTGTACTGTATGTTGAAACTTACAGGTTTGGGCTGTCAGTTAGAAGAAAGCAGAAACTCACATGATAGACGGGGTCTTGAGCCACCTTCCACCACCTGGCTGGTTGGGGAAAACATCCTCCAGAAAGAAGTACACATGGCCAACAGCGATACCTCAAGAATGGTAAAAAACATTTGAACACTATTCATACTGTGTACACCAACAACCACACCAGTTCCATTTTAGCACATCAGCAAATAATAAAGGACTGCAGATGACAGTGATAGGTACCTAAAAGGTCAACAATGATGGAGTTTCCCAGCAGAAGTGAGAATCCCATCAGCACCCAGGGAAGGAAGGGGGCCTGGAAATTCAGCAGGCCAAAGAAATTCATGCGAACGTTTGGATTTCGCCGACTCCACACGTACACCAGCATGATAGTGAAGGCTTGGCCCAGAAACACCAGGCTTACAAAAGTGCCAAATATCTGACACCTTGTTAAAGAACATGTCTTTGAACAAACTGATCGTTGTATAGCCATGCTGGTGCCAAATAAGGAGGGCTACTCCACAAACACACAGTTAACTCAGTCTGGATGAGACGAAGAAATGATTCTTACCAACGAGAAATATACAGTATATGTTAGTTATTATGAGGTAAGTGATGGTCAGTGGGACAGAAGTGGCATACCACCAACAATGGGCATATGGTACACCACTGGTATATGAATATGAAAAGCGACAAAAGTGTTGCACGCAGCAGCATATCAGAATACCACTTTTTCAATTTAGCAGCAAAGATGCCGGTGCAACGTCTCCCACAAGCTTGTGGTTATTAAATCTTCCTTCCCTTTACACAGTACAAGTGCAATGCAACTAAGGAGCTACCAGCTTGGTATCCCATAATGAAGGAGGAATGAAAAGATGCAGTGGGCTACCCATAATAACAGCATTATACACACACAAACACAATATTAGTGAAAGTTAAAGGGCACCATTAGCTTTACAAGAGACTCTGTTTACATGCACCAAATATTCCGGTTTTTGCCCTTATTCCAAAAAAGAAAAATATTCCTAATAAGCTGTTTACATGGCTAATGAAAATAAATATTCCAATTTACATGCAGCCGTGTGTATTCTGATTAACGGAAGATGACCTCGTGACTCAGCCCCATCATTCTCGGCTGTGTTTGATGAGTCGAGGCCATAACATGTAAAACATGTAAAAGTGATATCCAAGTCGTTCACAATGCTTAACAGTACGTGTGCTTCTCCTTCCATCCACAGATGTAGGCTTTTCCTCTGGGCGTGGATCTCTACTCCAGCTTTGCAAACTGTTGGAGAGTTGGTTTGTGTTCAACTCACAGAGCTGGTCGTACACAGGAGAGAGGCCTGTTCTGAATGAGCTGTATGTCCAGAGAATGCTCCTAAAACCTGAAGAATATCAACACATCACACGTCTTCATCTGAAAACGCTCCGTTTCAGAACATCCAAATGGAATATGATGTCTTTGAACCATATCAAGTTTGGAATATTATCATATTGGGAATAATATAATAATATGAGTGTGCATGTAAACGTAGTCAATGTTGAGGTCAACAGAAGTGATAAATGATTTACTGGTCATTGACATTCACTACAGCCCTCGCTATCTGTACATGGAGATGATTCTCAATGGAACATTAATGGAAGGATACGGTCATCAGAAGGCCACCAAAGAGGAACATGAAGACAAAGTCAGCCGTGCGTCCCCTGAAGGAGCCCTCCTCCAGCATCCGGCAGTATCTATACCTGGAAGCTAACGGTTAAGGAACTCGACACAGACTTTACACATTTCATCATCACTAAAGAAATGGCCATCATAATGGTTTGTGTTTGGATGGTTGTGCATCTTACAGAAGGTATCTCTATCATGTGACACCATAGACATGAAACGTTTCCTCATCCCATCTCTGAAACCACATCGAGCCTTCCCCTGCCAAACAAGACGTATGCAACCACACTTCACATGCTAGATGAAGTGAGACATGGAACCAAGAAGGATACAGAAAAATCATATTGAACAGGAAATTGAAGCCAACTGGACCAAAAAACAGGAAGTTGGTTATTAGTCGCCATACCTACAAAAAGAAAAAAGACAACATTCAGCTGTACATAACATACACACAGAGTAAGATGCACAGATCCAGGTCATGTTCAACCTTTCTGTGGTGGATAGAGGCTTTCTTTAACTGCAGAAGCGAGTTCACAGTGGTGTGAGACAGGCCACATGACATGGACGATCAGAGCAGTCTGTATCACAAACATAGCTCATTGTGTGAAAAATCAATAGAACTATTTCTATTTGATTTAGATCACAATCTAAGAAAACCACAAGATAAATAGATTTGTTCTTATTTTGACAAAAAAAATATTCTAACAGATTAAATGTAACATCATACAACAATGATTTCACTTATTGATTCATCCTGTTTGTAGTCAAAAACACTTTTACTGTTAAATAGAAGACACATCTGAAATGCTCCTTTTGGCCTCAGCCGGCTGGAGGGTGTGTCTGATTGACAGCAGCTGACGGTGTTAAGTTAGGGAGGACGAAAAATGTCATAAGTATAAATAAATAAATCCATACATAAACGTATAAATACAGAAATGAATAAATAAAAGTTGATGCCTAAACAGGAAATAAATAAATCTATTTCTACATTTTTTGTTCACCTTCATTTCTGTGTCCGTATGTTAATGAGGTAGGTGGTCCAAACCTCATTCTTAAGCAGGATTGGTCAACTAGGGGAGCAAGACAGAAGCAACATATTCCTAGCAAATCATCCCTGTAGACGACGTCAAGAAACTAGCTCGCAGCACTAACGGCTTCCTCAGTCTGCAGCTGGGACTGCTGCGCGAGGCCGCTGTGAGACTGACCACCTGTGAGTGCTTTGGGACGGCGGAGGGGCTCACGGCAGTTGAGGACAGTAACTGCAGAACAATACGGGTTTTCACATCAGAGTCTCCAATAACACCAGAAAAAGTCGCTAGATTTGTCGCTAGTCACTTTTGACAAAAAAAAATTCGCCAAGAGGGTTTGGAAAGTCGCCAGATTTAGCGAGAAAGTCACCAATTTGGCAACACTGGGCTAGCCAACTTCAACGTTACTGTGCAAGGCAGAAGTAGTGGACCAGAAGCCATCACACTCCTGTGACCAATCCTGCTTTAGACAGAGGTTAGGACCTCCCACCTCATTAGCATAAATAAATAAATGAATAAATGTAGGTGAACAGAAATGTATAAATAAATATATGAATTTCTTTATGTCCTGTTTGATTATCAACTTTTATTTATTCATCTATACATTAATCTATTTATTTTTACTTTTATTTATACCTTTATTTATCTATTTCAACATTGATTTCAGCATTTAATTATTCTTTTATTTATTTATTTATACATTTATTAATGCATTTATTTATTCATACTTAATCCATATCAAGTGTTTGTAAGACAGATAAGGAGACGTTAGCAGGGAAGCCACAGTGGTTGTGTTGGAGTCTGGCTCTTGCGTTTTGTGACCACCTGCTCTGCCTAGAATATAATGCTGACCTCACTGCTTTTTGCAAGATTTGATTGGCTGGTTCAAAATAAGGTCTCCATCTACGCAGACAGATACCAGATACCAGATTCTGCCAATTTAATAGGGGCGCCACCATTAAACCAAAGATGTGATAAATAAATGTCTTCCTTTTGGGTTTTTCTAAAAGAAGAACACAGGACAGGTGATGTACAGAAAACAGACAAATAAAAGCGATTTCATTTCAGCTGAACTTGTGAACTACTCATTTCAGCTGAAACACTGAGATGTTACAGTATGCACCCTGAATCCTCCTGAGGGTCAGATTACTCACCTGGTAATTCCTTAGAATCAGATCTGGATTGAAGTATAGCTGAAATGGTGTGATGATCTCTAGTTGCTGTGAGAGACGACAAAACAAACAATAATAATGTTAAGATGAAGGATCCAGCTTTGACAAACATTGACATCTTACAAAAAAAAAAAAGAAAGAAATATATACAGTTGTGTGAAAAAGTGTTTGCCCCTTCCTGATTTCTTATTTTTTTGCATGTTTGTCACACTTAAATGTTTCACATCAAACAAATTTAAATATTAGACAAAGATAACACAAGTAAACACAAAATGCAGTTTTTAAATGAAGGTTTTTATTATTAA